GGGGAAAATGGGTGATGGGCATTGAAGAGGGCACTGGTTGGGATGAGCACTGGGTGTTGTATATAAGCAATGAATCAAGGGAATCTACCCCCAAAACCAAGAAGACACTGTATAGAAGGTATGTTAGCCAACATCCCTCCATGAGGAGGGAAATTAATGCTCCGCATTTTAACTCCTGGCCAGAATTTAAGATAAAAATTACAGTGTCACTGCAAACTCCCTCTTCCACTGCTATCTCTAACTACTCCACCCCCATAATTACAAACTGGTAAAAGAGCATGAATAATTCTCATTCTCTTTTAACCATGAAACAACATTTCTGCAAAGATTCCACTACTAAAGAGCCAAAACATGAAACCTAATTTTTTTTAACATATAATAGAATTTCATTAGAAAACAAACCAAACAATCTAGTTACATTTTTACACTGTTACTTCTTCACTATTCACTAACTGATGAGAACGAAGAGGACTACATAAGCAAGAAAGCTGGATTTATTTCTAACTAGGCCCCTAAGATCCTGATCACCTGCCTTTCCTTGTCAGACACTAGCATCAGCAGTCTACAGCTGGGAGAGGTAGGGCAAAGTGGATGTGACAAAGCAATCAATGTACTTAAATGGAAAAGGTGAAGGTACAGCTGTTACTACAGACTCTTGCTTCCTTATAAAACCTGACAAATACCTAAAAGGAAGAATTTTAAATCACTGTCCAAACCTGTTTATTAACTGATCAAATGGTAGGCTATGAAGCAACAGGTCTTTTAAAAAACACCAGGCTCCCTGGGGCGCCTGGGTAGCTCAGTCGGTTAAGCATCCGACTTCGGCTCAGGTCATGAACTCACTGCTCGTGGGTTTGAGACTCTGTGCTGACAGCTCAGAGCCTGGAGCCGCCTTCAGATTCTGTCTCTCTGTCTCTGTCTCTCAAATATAAAATATAACCTAAAAACATAAAAATTTTAAAAAAAAGTACACCAAGCCCCCACAGTCCTAAAATACTTCAAGAGAACATTCTCTGGGGTGTGAAGATCTTTAAGACATGGTCTAAGGCCAAATCAAGGCAAGCATGCAATCCTCATCCTCATCTCGGGTCACCTGAGCTCCGACGATGCCGTTGCCCCCGTAGAAGTTTTTGGCATACATATGCATCGATCCGCCTTTCCCTTTAGCGCAACCTCCTCTTCGTCCTAGAAATGGCAGCATATACACATCAAAATCCAAATATACAAAAGAAAATCGCACGCCAAGTATTTACTGAGAGGGTCAACCACGGGGACTCACAGGCTAATTCAACTGTATAAGCACCCATCCCTCTATGCAAATACATGTTCCACTACATCCTTTCATGAACACCAATCCAGTCTCATGTCCTTGACCTTTATCCTTTAGACGTTATCATGATACCCTGGACTTTTTTTCCAGTTATAAACATCTTCTGATTTCCCCTACACTGGTACAATGAACAGTTCAAAAGTCAAAGGGGACATGAAAAAGATTCCTAGAATTTAAATTGCATACAATGAAATGCTCCTACCCCATTTACTTTCTATGACTGCTAGATTTCTACTGGCATGCTTGAGTGATCAACAGTATTCTGATTTTACGGAGCTAACATTTTTAAATTTCTACCTGAAGGACCAGATGACCTCAAAAACGGTCAGTTTACTCAAAAGCACAAGAGAGGTACCAGAGCACCAAAAGGAGAGGCTTTCTTTTTTTTTTTTTAACTCAAAAAGGTTTTAATATTAAGTTGTAATAGCATCTTAATATGAGAGATCTGCAAAGTTATTTCAGTAATTTTTCTTTTTTGAAAATCAACAGCAAACCTGTAAGCTCTGCAAGAATTTCTCGGACAGAAAGTCCACGAGTAAAGGTGAAGCCATGAGCCCGATAGGCTGTGATAAGATGGTCTGTGGGATTTATGCCGGCCTCCAGGCCCACACAACAAGCTTCCTGCATTAAAAGAAGCAGCAGCAATGAGTCAATACAATTCACATTTCTAGATAAAAGAATCCCTAGAATATTAGGAAACATTTGGCCTAGCGGAACTCTTTAATAACCACAAAAAGAGCTCTATTTTTCATCACAAACAGAGTAGAGGGTAAAGCACAAGCCAGAAGCTGCAAACCGGCAATCCACAGATGTACAGTTTCAAGCCCATACAGTGATATGGAAAAAATCCCGAATTAGACATCAACATTAATATTGGGGGAATTTCATGTGAAAATCCAGACCTCTGTCTTCTCTAGAAGAAACAAACAACAGGAAGCACTAATCTCATATGTCCACATGGCATCAACCGGCTAGAACCAAGTTATGATGCCCCTGGTGGGCAGGGGGGCTGCCTGCTCAAGGTCACTACCAGTCCTAGTCACCGTTCTCTAGTTTTGTACAGCTGGCCTTCTTCACTCCTTTATTGCACCTAGCTAGTCCCCACAGGCATTTGAATTTGTAACCCTTGGCCTAAATCCACAAGACAAAAATCAAAATGAAAACCCTTCCCCCAAAAAGTATATCCAGTACAGGTGATCACAGTGCCATGTAAGGCACAGGGGCATGTGAAAAAATTCTCCAGTGTAAGCTTCATAGCAGGTCTTGGCATTCTCATCTTTACTCTGACAAGCCAGTCTCGAGTCCTTCTGATGCAAAAGGCAAGGTAAAAACCAGTAAATACAAACCATACTGAGGCACCTGGGTGGCTCAGTTGGTTGAGCGTCTCTTGATTTAGGCTCAGGTCTTGATCCCAGGGTCATGGGACCAAGCCCAGCAATGGGCTCTGTGCTGAATGTGGAGTCTGCTTGGGATTCTCTCTCTCTGCCCCTACCCCATGCTCTCTAATTAAAAAACCACAAAACAACCATACTTAAATTCCTAAATCTAACATGGTTTTATTACAAAACCACCACTTACCTGACCATCACACAAGTGACAAAAACCACGAATAATTTTCTGTTTATACAGCTGATCTGCCTTTAATTCCATTCGGCGAACAGTCTGCATCATCCTATAGTATTTGAGCCCATCCTCCCTGGTGAGTACCGTGGTGACAGGAGGGCCCTCTTCCAGTCGGTGAAGATCACATTTCTGAAATGGAATCAGACAGTTAACTTCCAGTTACTACAACATAAGCACTGCCAACCCATTCTAAGATCTAATATCGCAACAATATTTAATTCAAAAAGCTGCAGAGGAGCACATTGGAAATGCTACATATTGCTTCTGACTCCTTAAATCATAAAGTTCACTGTGCAATGGGATGGAGTAGAAAAGAAATATTTCTAAGATGACTTTCACTGAGAACCCCTCGAAGTCAAAGGAGTTACAGGTTGAAAGACAAACTTTTAAAGAAGCACTCTATTCCTATTGAAATATTTTACTGAAACAACATTCTAAATTTTGGATTTTCAATTTTTTTAGGTCTCCCCCCTTCCCCCTCCCCAAAACACCAGCAAGCTGCTGAGCAAGAAAAGTGAATTCTAACTTTTGCTAAACTTCTCTGAACCTCTGACTCTAGAACATTTGGAAGAAAATGGTAAAAGAGCATGAATATCAAAATGTTCGATTTCAAAGGTAAAACTCTGTAACAAAGTATACCTGTGGAAATATTATTAACACAAAGCAAAACACCTCTTACCTTAATTTCAAACGTAGCATCATTTGCAAAATTACGGGATGCCACCAGCACTCTGCTTGCCTTGAAAGACCAAAATATACAAACATATCAGTACTTTTTATTTTTAGGTATTTTTGAAAGTCATTATTATTATTATTAACCAATTATCAGGATGCAGTCCTGGAATTTTCATAAGCCCCAACACATTCATGGGTTTATCTTCCTTTCTCTTCACTGTGTTGGGATCTTGTCTTCAAAATGATTCCATGCTTTGGCCAATGAAACATGATTATACACCCTTCCTGAAGGCAAACAGCAGAAACAGAAAGGAGGAAAAAAAGTCAAACCCATCTACTTAGCCATTTTGTTTCCAAAAAAATTACATTGAAAATATAATGAAGTTACTGGCCAACAGAAAAGACTAGACAATCTCTGGGCTTTGTTTATAGTTATACACTGAACAAGCTAAAGCTTTACTTTCAGAATTCTTCTTCAAATAAAACTGTGATTCCATTCCTATTTCAGGCAAACCACCATTCTATGAAATGGTTCCATAAAAAAAAAAAAATATTTCAAACTATTCAAAGTATGAGATAAATATGTTTGTGAGACATGTACAAGACAAAAGAAAAGATACTTAGCACTCCCTGACTTAAAAACAATGGACTTGACAGACATTTTATAATCTGAACAGCTTAGGTCTTCAGTAGGCTCTTCCTGAAGCCTCAGAAGGGAGAGATGTTCCCTTCTTGATGTTATGGGTGGCTGTCACTGCTTGGGTGGTAAAAAGATGGGGGAAATGTTTCCTTTTCCCTTTCGACTGAACATACCTGCTCACAGCAAAAATACTAAGTGATGACCAAGGTCCAGACTGGACCACAAACATTTAACCAATTACTATTATTATATTAGTTTAGCCACATTCTGCCACGTTTTCACACGCTGATATGTAAAGTTACATGACTTCTCTTCATGGAGACTTGAAGCACATTCTTGACATCCCACAGAAAGTACCTGTGATGTGTTCCTACAGTGTGCCACCTTACCATCCAGCTTCTAGCACTGGACTTGATCTTGTTGAGAAGGGTAAAGACTAACCTGCTAAATGCACCTCCAAGTATACAAAAATCTATTATTTACTTATCTTTTCACCTATCAATATACCCTTATCTGATAAAGCCAACAAAACAATGACACTGCTGTAGGAAAAATGCCTCAACACTAGAAATAAATGCTTCAGTTACAGGTAGAGAGTCCATTAGTATACCTAGAATACGTGAAGAAAATTGAGGAATTTGGACAGAAGCTAAGAGGGGTGAGGTGACAAACTAATTTCTGGTAATCATGAAACGGACCTATTATTTTTGCCGGTTCACAAATACTGCTGTGGAGCCAGAAATATTTCTTGTAGTGCAAAATAAATTTCCAGATACAGCTACAGAAACTGTAGTCTTCAGAAATATTTAAAACTAGAGACCTTGGGGCAGCTGGGTAACTCAGTAGGTTAAGCATCCAACTCTTGATTTCAACCCTGAACCCACGGTTCAGTTCAGGAGTTTGAGCCCCACGTCGGGCTCTGTGCTTGACAGCACAGTGCTTGCTTGGGGTTTCTCTCTCTATCCCTCCTCCACTTGCACGTGCACATGTGCATGCTCCTTCTCTCAAAATAAATATTTTTAAAAATATATAAAACTAGAGACCTTGTGGAAATACTTTATTGTACACCTGAAACTAGTATTACTGTTCTCTGCAACAGTTTTCCCTTCCTGATGTTTGTATGTTAACTGTATGTTAGCTGGAATTCAAATAAAAACTTAATAAAAGCAAATAAAACTAGAGACCAAACCAGCCAGTAACCAACCATACCGGTGAAGAGGTAAATTTTTCTTTCTCCATCTTAAAGTTGAAACCAAGAATGACAGAAAATTCTATATAATAAAGAGCAGGAAGGAAAGGCCAAAGATTATGACTGCCAGAAAGCTACTCATATATTTTCTCATCGTTTCATTATTATGAACCTCAAAAATTAGAGGAATCACTCATATAATGGGTAAAAGGAGCTGAGTTGAAGAAGCTGAAGTTAAAGAAGCTGAAAGTCCTATCAGAAGTCTGAGTATATAATAATTTGTAACTGTTGAGATTGCTGAAAAAATTACCTTTCATTTTCTCTGGAGAGCCATAAAAAGCTTCTCTGTTAAATGGGATTCCTCTTTGAGAGACCATGGACAAACCCATTCACATTAAAAATAAAAACTCTGAAGTTCTTAAATACATGGGAACCATTCAAGTGAAAGGGGAAAATGGTTCAAAAATTTCAGATTCTACAAGTGTAAATTAAAAATCTTACCTATTACCTAAAAAGCCAAAAGATTACTGGTAGTGAAATTCTCACAAAATAAGGGATCATATTGGAAATACAAACAGTAAGACAAAGAATAAAAATTTTAAATGCAATTTAATCTGTGAAATAACTGAAGACACTCAACCTCATTCAAAGATGAAATCACAGGTACTTAAGTAACTTAGGTTACCCTGGGCTCTCTGCTTTCATTTTAGAGACTCTCATTTTTTTTTTTTTTTTAATTTTTTTTTTCAACGTTTATTTATTTGTGGGACAGAGAGAAACAGAGCATGAACGGGGGAGGGGCAGAGAGAGAGGGAGACACAGAATCGGAAACAGGCTCCAGGCTCTGAGCCATCAGCCCAGAGCCCGACGCGGGGCTCGAACTCACGGAGCGCGAGATCGTGACCTGGCTGAAGTCGGACGCTCAACCGACTGCGCCACCCAGGCGCCCCTAGAGACTCTCATTTTGTAGAAGGTGCTAGCATCCAATTTCTAAAGGTTTTGTGGGTTGGTTGAAAGGTGGCAAGCCGAGAGAGAAGAGTGGAACAACATCCTAAGGCTTCCACCTAGGCCGGCCCCAGTAACCCCCGAGAAGTGAACATTGTAATAAATTACAGCAACATTTAAGATATTAATTCTACAAGATTAATTCTTTAAGATATTAATACTACATCTACTTCACACAATGAGTTGGTTAAAGGACAAATTCCTTACACTTGCTTGTATCACCTATGCTTGGAAACAGGTTGTTTCTGTCTTGATGGGAGTTAACATCAGATATGCTTCATTTTAACGACACTGTTGGAAATCAAAGTGTCAAACCCAGAATCACTGGGAATGTGTGGCAAACTGTGCAACAAGAAACTTGTCCAGTTCATCTAACAATGATCTTTTCAGTGTTAAGAAGTATAGGTTCAAAGAAGAACATATACATCTATGATGATTCTAAAACACTTTGAACACTCTAAGCAACCTGTATTAACACAACTGAAACCTGATAAATAAGCACACTAGACCCAAGACCTTAAAGTACACTGAGCACTTTGAGGACATCTCATCAATTATTACAGTTTATGGAAACACTAATTACCTGATTCGCTCTGTCGCAGGGAGGAGCTATTAAACAGGGTTTCAGCCCACAGACACACATAATCCACGCTGAATACACAATTCTTCAAAATATTTTTCTGTGCCTTAGTATAATTAATGCCACATATACAGGCATCAGGAGAAACATGCAAAATAGCCAAAAAGAGGGTTCAAAGTAAGGAGCATTAACTCTTTCACTGTCTCTCATCCTCAAGAATCTATTTCTGCTGTAATAATCTTTTCTCTCAATAAAAATTTGTGACTAAATGAAGTTATATTCCGCTCTGGTTTTATCCAGTTAACAAATCACTGTAACCCAAAATTCATTTCTATTTGATTTTTGAGGAGGCCAAAGTTTTATTGAGATGAAGTGCAATTTGCATTTCAGGCCAACGACTTGCCGGAAGACTGCAAAACACAACCAGGAGTATTTTGGACAGTTGAGTGAATGAGAGTCTGATATTAAATGACTTCTCTGTATTCACAGAGAAACACAGGTGACAGTAATTTGAAAACTCACATACCAATTTTCCTCTTTCTGTAGAATATCACCAATTCTATCAAAGTTTTTCTTTTCTAATGCAACCCTTTAAATGTAACATAATACCGAACTAAGACCTTTATATAATGTTGAAAATACGTTTCTATTACTTACATTCAACTTAAAACTGCAGTTGTGGAGATTAAATAGCCTAGTGCCTGGCACTTGTTAAGATATCAGTAAGTGTTGGTCGTATCATGTGATTTACAGAAATAACACTTAAATGTGCTTATCCTTCAGGTAGATCTGGTTACAATTACACGCTAATAACTGATTAACCAAATTGTGTTTTGTAGTCATTTCAGTCAATGGGATTCCCAGAAGGCTATATCCTTCCTACCTTTCGATGATATCTGCCCATACTAAGCAGAAGTGCCACAAAGTCCTGGGAGAGTTACTAGAAGCTGAATTGCAAGGCAAGTTTGGCTACAGTTATACCCAGTAACACTACCTTCCACTACCTAAGAGGTCAAAATGGTTCAAGGTCTTAGGCACATCTAAGAGCTGGAGCTGCAGCCTCCAATCACCACTGCTGTTTTCTTTAGCTACTTTTACCCTAAGCGTACGTAAGGGGGAGGGGGGTTTCCTCTGGGTTCTGCTTGACTGCCTTTGAAGCGGCTGCCAAATAAAACCTCAACGTTTTAGGGGAAGGTTTGCGGGGGGAGCGGGGGGGGGG